GTTATGTTCACCTGTTCGCGCATCCAGCTCAAAACTAGTCCTGTGCAAGTTTCAGCGTAGCGCGGAGAACACCTGCCACTTCGGGTCTTCGTTCTGCAGAGACACTTCGAAAGGGTAATTCCAAAGTTTTACTAATTATTCACGGCGAAACAAACTAGCACGAGCTTACGTTACACAGCCCAAATGGCCCGAACACACCGCAATCATGCCACAATCTGATGCCGATGGCCTCAGATGGATGGCATCACCCACAGAGGGGGATGGGCCAAGAGCCAGGTGGCAGGATATTTAAATAAAACTAAATGAAATTAAAGCCAATCTGAAAAATTAGTTTAGAAGTAATACTACCAATAAACAAAAATGTTTGCTGAGCAAGCGGTCAAACCATCTCTTGTTTTTGACAGACATGGCTACGAATTATAAACTGAGATCTGAAAAGGTTAGGGTTCACTAGCACGGTAATCTTTTAGTTGCGTTGATGTAATCAAACACAGTGGAGCATATATCCTTGTGGCAGTAACCAAATGAAATGCCGCCAAGTGATAAAAGTACTGGTAGATTTACTTGCATTCCTAGCTTTTGTAATGGGGCTACTAAATATCTTTTTCCCTGATAAGAGTAACGATGACAGAATAAAAAGAAATGTTCAATTGTTTCAATTTTGTTGCAAAAAATGCACAGCGGTGACGCCTTGAGTCGAGCTTTGTTAAGGTAATAATTTAGTTGTGGAACTGCACAGCGCAATCTGGTATAAGTGACCCCTAACTGGCGAGATACACACCCCTGTTTGTTCCAGCATTACCTCAAATGCTCAAAATCTTTAAAATTTATCCAAATTACCCATTCCTATTGCAGACAAGCATTTCGGAACCTTAGCGCTGTCACGTAAGCCGTATCTGGCAAAACTGGGATGGTGGGCCCACTCGGGGATACTGCTGCTAAAGAGTACGCCATTTCGTTCAAATATGATCCGCGGTGGCCCGGTACCCATAGCAAATGCAGTTTTTTTTTCGTTTTTCATTACTAAATGCCGAAACATATTCATCAGCTCTGCATTTGCTGCCGCAGAAAGTGCATTACATACTGATAACAAATCTGTAATGATAACTGCTAATGATTCGCTTGAGGGCAATTTCCGTAGGGCAAGAACAATAGCCAATAATTCTGCAATGAATAAGGGGTATACAGGGCTATAAAATCTGGGAGTCGAATCGAAAAGGACCAGTTCAAAGAAGGAGAGAAGATGCCCCCCAGCCTTTTCTTTTGACACAGATGCATCAGTCACAATGATATGCTTATCTCTAGGCGAGCTAGATAATCTGCTAACTGGTCATTTAAGTACCTATGTGCAATTGTTTTGCGTTATGAGGAAATTATCATCAAATTGTATGCTAAGCATTGAATTTAGGTAGTGTATTGGACCAATATGTTTAATTTTTACATTCAGTTGCTGTAGTAGCGCATGTGCAAATATTATTTGCGGGTTGTGTAGTCGCGACCAATGTGTTTGAAAAAATAAAACCGGTTCTTGAATGAAAGCGCAAAATGAGAGTCTTTGATGTGAACTGTATATCTTTAAGAATGCTTGCACAGTAAGAATTTTAAACCTATTTAGCAGAGAAGGTCGGCGAGCTTCCATATACAACACATTATTTGCAACAAATTTTGGTAGACCCAACACAAACGCAACGCTTCTCTTTCCAGCAGTATTAGGGGTCTCATTTTATAAGCTGCACTGCCAGAAAATGATACACATCCGAATTCCATGATGGGCCGCACATAAAGTTTATATATCATTAGTAGCACATCTCTTCTTAAACCCCTTTACTGTTTGCGAGCTTCCATAGCCACCACATGGCCCGTGTTGCCTTGAAGTACACATCATCAATGTGGCTTTCCGTTTTCTATAGCTCCTGATGCACTCTTCAGTCCACCATGGACAAAAAGAACCTCTTGTGGCAGAGTTTAAATTAAAAGTTGCGTCTTTTACTGATCTTTTTAACACTGCACACAGACTCATAGCCCTAATGCCACCTTGCATGTCCCTGCGGCAATCAAAAGTAGCCTCAAGTCTTTTTCTAATTTTCTATAGTTGAGGAATGAGCCGGCCTTTTCGGCGACAAGTATTCTCGGAAACTTGAGTACAAAACTAATAGGCAAGTGGTCACTGTTAGTAGCACAATCTAAAGTTTGCCATGAACATATGTTAAGAGATGAGCTTGAAAATATCAAGTCAATTACAGATTTAGAGAGACCTCGGACAAAAGTAGCAGACTGCGAATTTAAACAAGATAAATTCTTGTCAATAGCCCATTCTTACAAGCGTTTTTCACTTAAATCTGTTTTGAAACCCCAAGCCACAAGATGTGAAGTGAAGTCTCCAGTGATTAATATATCCTTTCTGCAGGCAGAGAACATATCGTCTAGACTTCGTGTGTCTTGCACCCCGGCTGGGAATATGCATTTACAAACGAGAAGGGAAAACCATCGGGTAATATTATGTCTACTATCAAAATTTCACAATTGGGAGTTACACACCGATAAGAGATCTTAGCTTTGCGACTAAACTTAGTTGCTATCAAGACAGCAAGTCCACCACCTCTGCTAGGTCGGTCCAGTCGAAATAGCCAATAGTTTTTAGGTAAAACTTCTGGCCGGTTGAAAGCCAGGTTTCTTGCAGTGATATAATATCTGGGAAAAGTTGTGAAGAAAGCTATTATAGGTCTGTGGCTGCGGAAAATAGATCTGCAATTCCACTGTAATATGGTTAGTGAACCTATTTTGATGACAGAACCATAGCAGAAACTGCTTGGTCCAAAATGTCCTATCGCAAAAAGTCTTTTTTAGACTTATTCACACAAAAAAATTTTTTTTGGAGATACTTTTTAGATTTCGGATTATGCTAAGAATTTTTGATGGGGAGATCGGGTTCGCTTCAGAGCCTTATGAGAGTCCGTATCTATATCTGCAAATGCTTCCCAATCATCCGTTAGATCACCCTCTTTCGTTGTTTTGGAAGTCCCTGCCTCAGGAGAAACCGATCGCTGACGTGTTGTCGCACTGTCTATCTCCATACGCTGCGATACCACTGATGCCCGAGGATCCCAATCGTTCGTATATGCTTCACCTAGAATTTGAGATAGTTGATTCGAAACCAATTGTGCCAAGCTTTCGAAAAGGTTGTTTGCGAGGCGTTCCATAGCCTTTTCCGTAGCCTTCTGTACGGCCTCTGCGATAGATGTTGCGAGAGATGCATCCATGGCGGTGGTATTACGTGCTGTAACACCTGCATATCCTTTAGATCTCTCCTGCATTTCTGCAATGGCTTCCCTCCGAGAGCACCGCTTGCGTTCTACAATATCCAATATGGCAAGCTCGTTTTCTTTAGCTGCACAGTCTGAGGAGTCTGCAGGGTGCACCCCATTACATAAGCAGCACAGCTCTTTCTCAGAGCTGCACTTGCGGCTGTCATGATTTTCACCACACCGACGGCATCTAAGAACTGATCGGCACCCTCTGACGCTATGTCAATATCATTTCAAACACAGGGGTTTGGGTAAAGTGGCTCTACCTTATAGATCAGTGGCCATGCCTTAATTTCGAAAGGTCGGACTGTTCCTAAAAAGGTCACTATCACCGATTCCGTTGGGGATTTTATGTTGTCAATTGTACGGGTGCACCTGTACACTGAAATTACACCCGCCACCGAAAACGAATCGAACACTTCCGCAGGTGTCAGGCTTGTGTCCACACCGCGGACTAATCCTTTCGAGCATGCGAGGTGTGCCGGAATAAATGGGCTTACCGGATGCGCTGCGAATTCGGAACATTGCAGGAGTTTACGAATCCATTCCTGATCTGCGGAACAGCACAGGATGCCTCCGCGACCGAACTGGCGAACCTCAGTGATCTCCTGGAAATGCGAAGTGGCTTTTCGAAGCTCCATTTTAATCCAAATCGGAATACTGCCTCCATCTGTAGGTACCAGAGCTACAGGTACACTGCTCGCCCCACTGCATAACAAATAGTCAATCGGCCAATCCTTGGCGGGATTGGAAGCTAACCAAGGGGAGTGCCCTAGGCCAGGCAAAGAAAATGACATCAATATCGAATGACTCGCTTCAGCTGAGAAGTACCGATATAGTTACCAAAAAATAACGAACTCTCAGAGAGCAATAAGGATACTGCCACCCGATCCTGAGCCCGGACAGCTTCTACACAGTCGAGCTTCACAGTACAGGTACAGAAGGTGCACAGCGACAACGACGGCTTTGTCCAAGAGAAAGGCTTCTTCCTTCCAGCGAAGCTGTATGTCCAAGCTGACTCCACAATCACCTTTACCGCTGCACATTTTAAATAATACCAAATAATACTAAAAAAACATGACGTCATGTAAGATAGTAACGCCGATAGGCTTGCTGACCGTAAAAGCTAAATACATAAAAATAACAAAACTTCATCAATAAAAAAATATTTGATGCAATATTTAGCACAAATAACTAGTATATACAGCATTTTATTTCATTTATTTCTGTAACTACGCAATGAAGTTGTATTCAATTGCTTGCTTCATTATGTTACTAGATCCACTTCATGCACATCAAAATGAACCATTTTTCCCCTTTTAATAAAAGCAGCAATATTTTGTGTTTTTAGACTTGTCAGTAATATAACATTTTTAATAACATTAAATTGTGAAGAGACATTTGTGGTCAGAAGCACCGCGACATCGACTGAAATATTAGGTGGCGCTCCAGTCGCCACCTCGCCGTAATTTCGCCGTAATTTGAACTGAACGAGCGCGTGTGGATGTTGGCTAAAGCGACTGGCTGCGCGAAATTGTATTGTTATGCTGGCTCGTGAGGTGCTGTACTAATTGACGATGCTGACGACGTTATTCTGCTATGCTCGCTTGTGAGGCACTGTAGTATTTAGTGGTGTTGCGGACATTTGTGCGTGGCTGTTGGGTGCCGTAACGGCCATAGTCTACTGTGCGCACAATGGAAGACGGCGACTGGGAGCTATCCAAGGAAAACATACAGCCGTTGAAACAGGGCCGTGTCATGTCGTCGCTTCAGGCAGCGCTCGCCCCGCAATGCCAGGAAGACCTCAAGCAGAAACAGCGGGAGTTCGAAGAAGAGCTTCGCACCTCGTCCGGTGTCGCCCTTTTGGACGTATACCACCGGTATGTGTTGTGGCTGGAGCAGCACCACGTTACGACTAGTGTCAACATGCCCCAGCTGCTTGAGCAGGCCATTGTGCAGTTCAAGACAAACACTGAACTGTTCAACGACGTACGCTACGTCGGCATTTGGATACGCTATGCTATGATGTCACCAGAGCCCCTCGCAACGTTCAAAGCCATGTTTGAGACTGGTATTGGCGATCAGCATGCTGAATTCTACGCCACTTGGGCACAGCAGCTCGAAGCATCTGGCGATAGTTGTGGTGCATCACGCGTTCTCCAGGGAGGCATCCGTCGGCGAGCTGCGCCCACCAGCCGGCTCGAAGCGGCTCTGAGGCACCTGGAGGCACGTGTCAGTCGCCAGGTCGCTCTCGACGTGCAGCAGCAGTGCCAGGAAGCGGCGTTAGTTGGTGGCCCAAGACGGGATGCGCGATCTGTTCTGGCTCCACTGCGTCCACAGAAGCAGGGCACCGCCCCTGTGACGCGGTCGGCACCTGTCACCAGGCCAGCCGAGCAGCAGCAGCGTGGCCTGGCAATAGTGACAGCCGGCTCAGCGGCAGGCAACCGAGGCCACACGAAGGTACGCGTGCAGGCCGACGAGAACGCTCTACAAGATGGCGATGCCCTGCTCATTCAACCCGTGGCTGCACCACCCTTTGTGGCCGCCGCCCAGCTGACCAAGGAGAATAGCCGTACAGCTGGAAAGTGGTCTGGAGTTACGGCGAAGCAGCGGCTTCCGTCAGCGTCTCCGCGGCCGGGGTTCGAGGTTCTGGAAGAAGAAGACAGCCAGCCTCCTTCTTGCACGCCTACCCTGGTCCCTGGCAGTCGGCAAGTTCTCAGCGAGCGCAAGAAGTCTGCAGAAGCGTACGATGGTTTCAGCTGGGACCGGTGGGTGGTCCCGCTTTGTCGTCCCGACCCTGAAGGTCTGCCGGTGCGGCCAATGTATGACAAGGCGAGTGTGTACAGGGGCACCACAGAGTTCCAGTTCGAGGAGATCCGCATGGCCCATATTCGGGCACAGCAACGGCAGATGGACTTGGAACAGCAACTGGAGGCAGAGCGAAATCGACGCGCGCAGCTGGAGTTAGAGAGTCTGCAGAGAGAGCAGCGCGAACGGGAAGAGGTGAAGGCGCTTAAGCGGGAGGTGCTGCAAATGCGTAAGGAGCTGCAGCTGTTGCACCGCCAGCTGGCCAAGAACAGGAGTGGCAGTAGGGACCACGCTGTGGTGACTAGCCAGATTGTGCGTTTGGAACAGAGTATCCTGGCTGCTGAGCAGTCCATCCTTGTCCAGCCTGTATCAAACAGCAGCATAGAGGAGGGAGCCTGTGGACAACCTGACGAAGTGGACATGCCGCCTGACACACCGAGTGCTCACCAGGCGAGCGGGGCTGCAAGTGCCGAAAGCACCCAGAGTGGTGGAAGCTTGCGCACAGTTGATGTGTCCAAAGTTGTACGCAGCCTCTGGAACTGCACTTTGGGCCAGTCACACCTGAGCCAGCAAGATTGCACGCTGCAGGCTCCTTCAAAACACACGGTATTAGATGAAGTGCGAACTGAGTCTGCCATTGAAGACTCTGCTGTCGTGGTGGGTGTTCCAGCAGCACCTTTTGAGGTGTTCTCTGAGCCCACCGAGACAGGAGTGCTTGCCTGTGTGCACCTCTGCCACCAAACGATGATGCTCCTGAAGAGGGTGACAACGATGAGAACCGGCTGCCAGCAGATTGTAGCCCGCCAGAGGTTTCTGTGAAGATGAAGTCACTTCAGCACAGGGTGCCCTTCGCCGAACTGCCCATGGATGAGGATGAAGCTTCAGAGGATGAGGAAGATGACATTGGAGTTGGACCCATTGATGATGATAACTTCACCTATGCACCATCCAAAAGTTTCGTCCTCAAGGTGACCTCGACACCCTGCGCAACTGACCGCACAGTGCCCAAGGTGGGTGAGGACTTCACGGTGGGTGGTTTGACTGCCCTTGTCCAGGATGTTGCCATCAGCGATCCGTCAGCCTTTTCTGCTGCACAGATACCCCCCGTAGAGCCGCTTGCCGAGCCACCTCAACAAGTTGAGCAGCAGCAGCCCAGCCATCCTGGTGTGCCACTTCCTCCTGGTACAGACACTGCTGCACCTCTTGCCACTCGCCGATTCTCCGTTGCAGCTGCTGTGGACTTGAGCACTATCTACGAGTGCAGCAAAGAAGGCAAATCAAGCAGCAACAGTGGAGGCAGCACCTGTTCAAGCAGCTCCTCGTCTCACCATTTGGCGGCTGGGTCCACACTGAGTACTACAGCCCGACCCCCCACAGGTGGCACCCTGCCTGCTGTCCAGGAGGAACCCGACAACGATGGTGGTGTCTCCTTGGTGGCAGCAGCCATGCCAGAGCAGTCCCAGGAACAGGGCGAAGAGACGGAGCAAGCAGTAAGTGCTGTGGCCTGTGAAGACCCATTCTCAGAGGAGATGCGAAGCATTATCTTGGCATCGTGGCAGCCGCAGAAGAGCGACCAACGAAAGCTGTTGGAGTCCCCTGCAAAGCGTCCAGTTCTCAAGGGGGATGCGCAGATCACTCTGGGGGACCACGAAGTGAAGGTGCTTCGCCACGTGGCATCAGGTGCTTATGCACGAGTGTATCTGGCCCAGATGGTGAAATCTGAAGAGACCTACTTGGATGATGATGAAAGCTTTGAAGCACCTTCTCAGGTGAAGGTTGTGCTGAAAGTAGACGACAACAATGGAAATGCCTGCTGGGAGTCCTACATATGCTGCGAACTGCACCGGCGCCTCAGCGAAACCTCTGGAGCATTTACAAAGGTGTGGTAGACCTGCAGCTGGCCTGCTTCTTTAGCAATGGTGCCATCTCGGTGTTCCCCTACAGCCCCCATGGCACTCTATTGGATCTGGTGACCCAGTTCGAAAAGCATTGTCGCAGCTCCGTACCCGAGTGCTTGGTGCTCTACTTTGCCCTCGAGTTCATCACCATCCTGCAACAAGTGCACTTGTGTGGCATCATCCACGCAGACATAAAGCCTGACAACGTCCTCATCATAGACCTTCCGAGCAAGGCAGGCTTCCTGGACAGCTTTTCCGAGCAGGGCCCCAGCTGCCTGCAGTTGATTGACTTTGGGCGTGCGATCGACATGAGCCAGTTGCCGCCTGGCACGGCATTCTCCTATGTGGTCACCACAGAAGGGTTCGTCTGCACCGAGATGCGCGACAATCGCCAGTGGACATTTCAGACTGACTGGTTCGGCCTGTTGGGTTGCCTGCACGTGCTCCTCTTTGGGCACTACATGGAAATCGAGAAGAGGTCCGACGGCACCTGGGGTATCCGAAACAAGTTCAAGAGGTACTGGCAGCAGGATCTGTGGAACAGACTCTTTTCGACCCTCCTGAACATTCCCAGCTGCTCGGAGCTGCCCGACCTGATGCCTTTTGTGCTGGAGATCCAGAGCCTGCTGCGCAACAAGTCACGTGCTCACAGTGTCGTCGTGGAAGCCCTGCGTGCCAAGAACTTTTAATTTTTTTTTACTCTTAATTTTTAATTGGCTCTACATATTTTAGAACAACCTCACCCCAAAGAGACTCTTCAAGTTGCGAAGAGTTGTAGTGGCTGTAATGTGTGGTATTTTTAAGTGTAAAAGAAAAGTTTTTTTTAAATACAAGATTTTAACTTTTGGTTCAACAGTTGACAGAGTTTATTGGCAGGTGGTGGGATGATTATGTAGTGACAGTGTGGGTTTTTCTTTTAAGTGTAGGCTAACAATGAAGTGCTGTGTTACCTTTTGGCTTAGCGCGTAGGTAGTGTACTGGGTTTTCTTATCCGACGTGGCTGTTTTGGAACACGTGGGCCCCAGTAAACTGGTGTAGCCATGGTCAAAATGACCGCAAGGTGTTCAGTGTGTTGCGTAGGTTTGAAGATGGAGGTTTGTTTGAGTGACAAGGCAGACGAAGCTTATGCCAAGTGCAGATAACGGGAGGCAGAGGCAAAAATGAAAATTCTGGCTACCCAGACTGAACTTGCGATGAAAGTCTCAGAGCTTGACAATGCTGTGGTAACGGGGCGAAACAATAGATGAGCTATGAGAGAAAGTTAAAACAATTAAGGAAAGCCTGTCGAAGGTCGTTGATAAGTATAAAGAGACAGCTGAAACTATAGAACGTTGAGCCCCAGTCGTGCGAGAGGTAAAAGGGGCCGTGGTAAAAGCAGGTAAATGATCGCAGGGCCCAGAATTTGGGATGTAGTTTTGAGAGAGGCAGGGTACGAAGCAGCGGCCATGACCTGCACTGGTCACAAAGTTAACCAGCTGCAGTTTTACTTCAGCAGCAAAGCCTGTGTACATTGTTTTCATTGGCAGATCCAGCCACTCATTTTAGAGGGATGGGGCGGTCGCTTGAATTAACACCACAAAAGGGGGCCGTGGTCATTACTTTTTGTTTTTACTGGCACAAAAGCCCTGTAATGGCCTTGTAAATACTGTTATTGTGTGCTCACAGTGGTCCCACTCGTTCCTAACTGGTGATTACAAGTGGATGGCAAGCACTGAAGGAAGGGGGTGTTGAGAGGCTTTGAGGGAGGGGGCAATCGCCCCCCCCCCCCTGGATTCACCACTGATTGTTTTTGCTCGTTACTGTAAATTCAGGGGTGGTACCATTTTTTCTAGGGCAGCACCGAAGACAATTTTGTTCCTTGAGGAGGGCAGGGAAGCACAGAAGTTGTGCGTTGTGTTAAATGGGAAGCATTTTATTGCCTACTGCAAGCACTTTTGGCATCTATCTGCGTATCTATTTAGCCGACTACGTTTGGGTGCTCTCATGACCACCCCCTTAACTTGGCGTGAACCAAATTAGTATGAAAGGGTAAAATGGCTTGATGAATATGACCCACTGGTTGTGACAGGATTGTCACCATCTCGTGACCAAATGCCATGTACGGGGTCAAACACTTTCCCCCAGACAGTGGCACATACCTGCTGGCGGGTATGTGCCACTGGTATGCAGTTATGCGCCACAGGTGATTGACAGTTTCTATGTACCCAGTAATGGTGACAACTGTCATTGATACTGTAAATGCGAGTGCGCTAAGAAAAATGTGAGATCAGCAGCCTTGAACCAATAAACATCAGGATCCCAGCAAACTCAAGCATTCTGCGGGGCAATCAAGTATTGTACCATGAAGCTACATCATGTCTTGGTGCTGCATTCGAAAAATACGCTGTTCAGGTTCAATGTTGGTGTCAATTGTAGTTGCAATATAGTGCCCACTTACATTGCACATTTACCCAATGTAGAGATTTTAAAACTGCCTTTGTCTAAACTGTAGCCTATGTCTCGTAAAACGTTTTACTTTGCTAGTTGATGCATAGTTAAATACAGGTGGGATGCTGGCTGTTCATATTTATAAACATTACATATGTACTCTTCTGATACAGTCATGTCATCAAGTTAACGTCAGTTGTAGTTAAGTGCCATCCACTGAAGTTAATTTATGTACCAGCTCGAAAGCACCAGCGTTACATATCAGCGTTAAGCTTCTCAGCAACACGAGTTCTGATACTCATGTTGCTGTTGGCATCGTTGCGCATGTGTAAACAAGTGGTTATATAAAACGTGTGAATGTTTCAACATATGTCAATGCATACATTTTTACATACATTTACCATCATTTCTTAACAGGTCACCCAATAAATAAGGTTACAACGCGGTCACCTTCGCTCCGCAAGCTTTGCATGGCATGCATTCTCATGATACGTGTGATCTGCTGAACTTTTTTTTTACTATGCTTGCTCTTGGGGAAGATAAAGGGAGGCAAGTGAAAATTTTGTCAGGGCCCACCCCTGCCCCTTTCAGGTGCCGCACATTATCAAATTCCATTCGATGCACAAGGGCAATTAAGAAAAGGGTGAAAGGCCATAAAATTTTCTGTAGCGGCATACATTGGAAAGGCGAGGAGAAAACTTGCAGTGAAAGTCCACGGGTGCAATTCTATGGTAAATGCAGGAGGGCTAAATTGTCTTGAACAAAGATTTGTCAAGGCAGAGAATGTAACAACATGGCTAGAACAAAAACAACGAAGGAACAAAGACCACCACAGAAGTGCTGAAGAGTAAAGCAAATAAATACAGAGCAACTCTGGGTTTCAGACCCAATAAGTGGAAAGAAAATGTGGCTATGGGTAGCTTACTTGTGGACGGGGAATAAGAGCAGTGAAAAGCATTGGGAGGTAGTGAATTGAGCGAGTACGGATATTAGGCAAATTGGTAATTAAGCTGAAATCCTGCTAGGGGAGATGAATGCCCCCACACACGACCTTGGCAGATACTCAAAACACAATGGGAAGTTATCCCTAGATCTCTGCGAGCAACATAGTCTTGAGATGGTAAACACGTGCTATTTTAACTATCTGTGATGTGATGCGTAGATTACATGGGCAAGTCTGAAATAAGCAATCAAACATTGATTATCGTTCCATGACTGATGGAATTTGTCACAAACTGAGAGAAATGAGAATAGAAGAAGAGATAGTGATTGATTGATATGTGGGGTTTAACATTCCAAAACCACCATATGATTATGAGAGACGCCGTAGTGGAGAGCTCCGGAAATTTCAACCACCTGGGGTTCTTTAACGTGCACCCAAATCTGAGCACACGGGCCTACAACATTTCCGCTTCCATCGGAAATGCAGCCGCCGCAGCCGAATTCGATCCCGCGACCTGCGGGTTAGCAGCCGAGTACCTTAGCCACTAGACCACCGCGGCGGGGCAAGTTTGGGTAGCGATCATCATTACAAATGGGATATAAAATTGGAAATAAAAGTGCAGAATCAGTTTGGCAGCTCGTATTTAAATGACAAATAGCAAGCATAGTCGTAAAAGTCGAGAAAAAATCATTGAAAAATACCATGCTAGGACTTGGGGTATAGCGAGCTGTTACGCGTAAAGACAAATCAGACAGGGAAAAAGAAGAAAACAGTTTGCTGGAAAGGAAAGTCAAAAAGCAGGTGGAACAAAGAATTTAAGGAAGCACTGTAAAGCATCGTGTGAGCGTAGACGGGCAAGAAAGGAGAAGTGGCCTCGGGACGAAGTGAACAAAGTATGTATAGAAAAAAAAGAAATCCATTGTACACAAATTGTTCGAGACAAAAATTAAAAGTGAAAATGATGGATTCACACAAAACAAAAAAAGTCTGCTCCTAGGGTATCTTGAGGCCACTTACGAACACTAGGTAGGAAGTCTCACAATGAAACAACATATTATACATGATGAAGGAGGAAATCAATTGGAAGGGTACAAAATGCCAGGTTACATCTGAAAGGTAAGAGCCAAGTCATTTCAAAAGATCGTCCAGGGGATTTTTTCTGTGATTAAAAGTAGGAAGGAAAGCAAAACTTTGAGTGGGGTTCTTGTCAGCCTAATTAATGAATTAGAACATAGCGCTAAAGGAAGCACTGTAGACAGCCATAAAAAATTCTCACTCGACAAGTATGTACCAGACATCTGGCAAGAAAGTTAAAAAAACTTTATAAAAGGCATGGGAGAAAAGGGATAGCATAAACCTTTAAAGCACAATTGCCTAGGGTGCCTTGTTAATGTTTGTCGGCCTCACTAAGCTATGGACCACTTTAGAATCTGAGCAACCTGAGAATACTATAAATCCTTACTTTTGCATGTAAACACCTTCCTTCAAAGTTACTGGCGCCAACTTTACATACAAAGAAATAAATTTCTAGGAAAGCCATCAATGAAATACCTGATTTATCAGTGAAAATTGTTTTCTTATTATATTGAAATAATAAAACTGTCAACATTTTTTATGATGTGAATGATAACTTGATTTTTGTAGTGGCGAGGGTTTTGAACCTGTAGTTCCTCGGTGAGTGGAAATTTTAAATCAAGAGGAGGAGAATTGAACTGTACTAGAGAGCTGCATCACAGTAATGGGATACAATTTACAGAAATTTCTCAATCTTATCAGAAGAACGACATCTGTTGGCAGTATTATCCCAGGTCTTTAAAACTGCTGTCATACTTCTAGTCCAATAATTATTGTCGTAAAAATAGCATAGCCATGCCATAAGTCCTTTCTAACAAAGTCCTGTGAACACAAAAAAAGAGTACCAGCTTTAATGTACAGGTTATGCGTCTTTCAAAATGTAGGTGTCCTAGTGTCATGGTGGCCACTGTCACTGAATGTTTAAAGACGTTCATTTTGTTAAGTGCGGGCTTGGTTGCAGAAAGCAATGGAGAAAAAATGTGTCGTAGGTATTCTTTACATTCCTAGCTTATCTCACAGACTAAATAAACTAAGAAGTAGATAAGGTGTTAATGTTGCTTTTACAGCTGCCAATAAACTTGGTAAGATTTGTGCTGCAGTGCAGAGAAAGAATGAGCAAGTAATTGACAAGGAGCGAACAGACATGTTTTGTAAAACACACTGACAAATTCACTTACGACTGCACTGGTGTGGTGCTTGAGGTTTCTTTTAGCTGCGGCCGCTTCTATCTTAGACAGATGAGCT